TCTGCTTAGGGAAAAAAAATAATAAAACCAAAACACGTCTGTGGAATTAGAAACGAGGAACAGAAGAAGTTGTAGGAGGAATCGCCGGAGATCGTAGAAGACAACGTAGAGATTTTTAACAAAAATCTCAAAAGGCAAGTTCTAACCTTACTCTCTTCCTTATACTCGTGTTCTTTGCATACTCAATGGTTCCAGGATGAATTACATGTTTAAAAATAAAAAAAACGTTATCTGTTTCATGTTTAGAGTTTAACTGAAACTGAATTTGGTTTAAAAATTGTAAACTGTTTAACTTTGAACTTTCTTGTTTAATTCTTGGTTTAATCCATATTAGTAGCATAATAAGGACTGAATTAAGGGTTGGAATCTTCTGGGATTAAGTTAAACTCTCTGAAAACCTATACTGTGAAGTATCGGAGGCGTAAACGGCGACCGGAGAGGAGAACACGAAGAAGAGGAGGGAGAGAGCCGGCTCCTATTGGATTGGAGCCGGCTCTCCTTGGACTGGAGGCGGCTCCAATGGTCTAGGAGCCGGCTCCAGGGCCATTGGAGGCGGCTCCAATATTCTGGAGCCGGCTCCAGGTTGTTTGTTCGTGGATTTTTTGGTTCTGTTGGTTGTTTTTCCAATTTTCAGTGATTAGGCTTCCTAGTGATTGTTTTAATGTGTTTTAGTGGAGAATAAATACTGTAATGGATGGTTTAGGAGTGGTCTAGAGTAAACATAAATATGCAAAGATCGGATTAACATAGAATTGGACACAAAGCATTAATCATTAGGATTACATGGAGTTAATTACGAATGTCTTGCAGACTTGTGTGGGTTTGGAGTTTCTAACTTCCAGATTATAATGTAAAATTTCTTGTGAGAGTTTGTGCACTGCTAATTGCAAATTCTTAGAGTATACCTACATACAAAGAATCTGTATTTTTTTTGCTAAAGATTAATTGATGATTAAACTTAGCATTTAATTCGTCAATTTTGTTGAATAGGAGCCTAACAGTATGATAAATTGTCTAGATTTATTATGCATACCATGGGAATAAATATTATAACATTTGTTTAAGCTCTGTTAATTATGGATACCGGGAATAAACTTATATTTACAGACACAGTCCTGTGGGTGATCAGGTAATGGCTTATTGCTGGATTAATTAAGCATGTTTTCCTAGTATACTTTAATGTGCTTAGTTTGGAACTGTGGGTTTTGACACTGATACTGTTAGTACTTAATCAGTGGTTAGATTTATTAAAGCATGATGGTTAATCTATTCTAACATGGTTAGGTTGGAATTGTTGGTTTTGGCATTTATAAATTATTTAAATGCGTGGAATAGAGTAATTAATATTGATATTTATGTTTCCAATGTTAATCAATTTGTTGGGACTATTCAAGAATGGTTGTTACTACATTCTGATATGCTTGATATGGACTTGTTGATATTGTTATGTACTTGTATATGCTTTATCAACTATCGGACGGATTGGATTGTATGTACCGGTATGGGACGGTGACATACTAGGTTTGGATTAGCTCAAATTGCTAAGTCCAACCTATTTTAGAGTAAGGGCACGGGTTATAAAATACAATCCTCCTTATATATATAAGTCGGTACGGTTGAATACGCCGAGTGACTTACTGGATTTCTTGTGGATGGTTAGAAACGGAGTTTAGATATATTTTTATGTTATCGTGTCATGAGCTTGAGTCTCAGTGTCGACGGTTAGGGTGCGTATATGCAGTTGGATGTGTAGCTGACTGTGAAGGTTGAGGTATACCCTGTTTAGGTTTAGGTACTCATGCCCACTCAGGTGCGTATTGTGTGATGCCTTCTATCCAGGTTGAGACCCCCTTCATGGCCTAGCGAGAGTCCAGTAGTGTGGATATATTTATGTACGGATTATTAGTTATTGTTGAACTATTTAGTATGTACATGCGTATCGAGTCTCTGCTTGGATTGTAGTAGGTTGGAACTTGTTCGTGGGCCTGACCCACTCCTATTTTTCAGGTGTACGTCAGTTCCAGGCTTGAGCTTGTTCGTGCTGAGCAGAGACGATCTTCTATTCTACCGACGATGTAGGATTTCTTTCCAGATCTTGGATTTGGGTTTTATCTTTCATTTTACTTTCATTCAGTGTGAGATTTTTTATTAGGGGTCCACTAGAGATGGATTCCCGAGTTGTTCAAATTATGGATATTTGGTTTATCAAATTTAAGTATTTAATTTTTTTTAAGGATTATCTTTTAGTTTCTTTTCAGCTTTAAACTTTCATTTCTTAATTCATTTTGTATTCCGTATTCGTTATAAAATATTAATTATTTGATATTCCCTCGGGTTTGGGCCTGGGCCTGATCAACCCGTGTCTCGGATCCGAGGGGTATCACAGTGTGCACGGGAGTTAGGCTGACCAATTACTTACGAGAGTGAAAGCAACGTCTTGGTGCCGCACGGGAGCAGCTAGAGTGGTGCTGAAACTCTAAGCCCGTGATAGTTGGTATCAGAGCAGGTTCGCCAAGGGAGCTTTGTTGGAGTGGACATGGCTAGCGGAGGAGACCACCAAGTCCACATCTTAGAGCAGAGCTTGAAGGAGAAGCTTGCCACATGCTTGGTCTACAAGGAGACCAAGTTTAATAGGCTCGAGAAAAGGATGATGGAGCTCTACGAGCTAATTGATGGCATCGCCAACAAGGCGCAAGAGAAAGAAAGGGACTTGCATGATCGGGTAGACGACTTGCGCATGGAGATTGCCGAGTGTAAGAAGGAGTTCTCCTAGGTACGCGAGGTCGTGGTGAAGCCCAGGAAGAAGAAGGCGCCGGAGCCCAAAGAGTACGATGGGGCAAGGAATGCGCGCCAGATTGACAACTTCTTCTGGCACATGGAGCGGTACTTCGAGTGCATGGAGATCGAGGATGATGAGGAGAAGGTGCAGACAGGCACTATGTACCTCACGGACACTGCTGCTCTATGGTGGAGGCAGCGCTTCAATGGTAGAGGCGCAAGAGCAGTTGACACATGAGATGAGTTCAAGAGGCAGCTCAAGAGGCAGTTCTACCCTGAGTGCGTTGAGGACCTGGCCATGATCAACCTAAGGCGCCTGAAGCAGAAGGGCAGCATAAGGGAGTATGTGAAGGAGTACTCCAATTTGATGCTGGAGATCCCAGAGATGCCGGAGCGGCAACGCGTGTGCTTGTTCATAGATGGGCTGCAGTCTTGGGTGGCCACGGAGCTAAGGAGGAGGGAGCCTAGAGACTTGGCATCCGCAATGGCTATAGCGGAGCGCCTCGAAGACTTTAGGCGCGATGACAAGATGGCCACGTCTCCCAGGAGGGACCACGGCAAAGGTGGGGGAAACCGGCGCTTCAAGAAACGGGGCGAGCCCAAGTCTAGTGATGATGAGCACAGCGATGAGGAGAGATGCCCACGTTATGATAGGGCAAGGATCATGGAGAGAGGTCCAAGGCTAATGGAAAATGGGAGCGCCGCGATAAGGGCAAGTGGGAGCCGAAGTGCTACTTGTGCGAAGGGCCGCACATATTGCGACATTGCCCCAACAAAAAGACTATGAGCGCCCTTGTGAAAGATAAGGGCAAGGGTAAGGTGGACGATACGGGCAGCGATGAAGACAGGTGCATGGGGGCAATGCAGATGCTGAGTAGCATGGCGCATGACACCAAGAAGAAGGGCAAGGCGAAGAAAGTAGCTGGGGTGCGCTATGTGGATGCGCAGGTTGGTGGCAAAGCCGTGCAAGTGTTGGTGGACACGGGCGCCACACACAACTTCATTACCCCAGAAGAGGCGCAACAACTTGGCTTGGAGATGCCCAAGACGGAGGGATGGATCAAGGCCGTCAACTCCGAGGAGGCACGCGTGAGTAGAGTGTGTAAGGAGGTGGAGCTATGCATGCAAGGATGGAAGGGCAAGGCCGACTTCCAGGTTGCGGAGATGGATGACCATGACATGGTGCTGGGGCTGGAGTTCATGGACAGGAACAACGCCGCGCCACTACCATGCCTTGGTGCGTTAATGATACTTGGAGGTGAAGAAGGCAAGGCCGCATGCATGGTGCCGCTCGTGGGCAGGAAGGAGAGTCCAGATGTGGCAGTCAACACGATGGAGCTCGTGAAGACTTCATATCTCCCAAAGGGCGCTCGTACGTTTGGGCCAAGGACATATGCGCAAGTGCTGATGACCTGCAAGAGGCTGGGTCAGCTGAAGAAACCGTGACGAGGGCGTCACGGAAATGGGTGGGGGAGAATGTCACGCCCCGCCTATGGAGGTTGTACCACGCAGGCGACACGCAGACGCTGAGGAGGACGCTGCATGGCAAGTGGAGTTTCTAGAGTCTTCCGGAGTAGTCTAGAGTTGTGTGGAAGATTCTAAATATGTGTAGTATATTCTAGAAGTGTGTGGAAGGTTCTAGAATTCTCCAGAATTGTGTGGAGTAGTATGGAGGGTTCTAGAATGTTGTAGATATGTATGGAGATGTGTAGAAGGTGGAAGAAGATTCTAGAGAATCAATCTCCACTGTTGGTTAGAATGCATCCTAGCCATCCATTAGGGATGGGGATGCCTATAAATAGGAGTAGGACTTCATTTTGCAACCAACAAGTCCTGGAGTGAGTCTTGAGAGCCTTGTAGAGAGCTTGAGTGTTAGCCTTGTACAAAGCATTCTTTGAAGTAATAGAAATATTCTTTCCTTGTCAACTTAAGTGCCTTAGTGTGTGTGAGTGTGCAAGCTAAGTGAGGAGAGGGCGAGGGCAACTACAACACTAGTAAGCGCACGAGGGGAGTGTGTTGGCTAAGGTGTGCACGGGAGTTAGGCTGACCAAGTACTTGCGAGAGTGAAAGCAACGTCTTGGTGCCGCACGGAGTAGCTAGAGTGGTGCTGAAACTCTAAGCCCCAGTAAAGTTTCTAAAATATTTTATTATTATTATTTTTCTTAAAAAGGGCCCACTACGCTATTTTTGAGAAAACGATATAAGATAATACAACAACGAGTTTTTAACTTGTATAACACTGAAAATGAGGTAGTATTACTAATAACTTGTAAAGCGTCGTTGAAAGGGTTCAATCCAACTTCAATACACAGGTTTGTTTGTTCTTGCTGAATCATTGATGATTTCTGTAATTGATAGGATCTAGGGTTTCATAAATTTTATAGAGCAAGCATTTGTGAATTTAGGTATATATGTATATTTGTATTTTGTTTTTGCTCTGTTAACTGTCTTTGTACGTTACCAGTAGATATGTTTTGGAACGAGCTATTTTGGATTGGGAGGGCACTAGTTCTTCTGCAGTTGATTCCAGGAATTCTAGGTTGGGGAAAGCAAGGACACTTCGCGGTTTGTAAAATTGCTGAGGTAAAGTAACTTCATTTTTGAGAAATTGAGTTCCTGAAATTGGGTGATTTCTGCTCTTTTAGTTTATTCTATAATTTATTAACGAGTCAGGCTTCAAATTTGTATTTTTATGATATCAGAATGGTTCAGACTGCAAAATTTGGTTTTTTTTATGGTTTTGTGTAGAAATATTGAGGAAAAAGATCTGTGATCCCAAATTTAAGGATTGCCAAAACTTGATTCTCGGATGTTGTAGTTCCTTTGTCACAATAGCTTGCTGAATATCTTGCAAATCTTAAATCATTGGCTTAAAATTCGTTTTTGTAGTGGAAGTCAATATTTTGAGTGTATTATTATTGTTGTTGTTGTTTTATTTAATATAACAATATTGAGAATGGGAATGAGTTGCTTTAGTTTATTAATATGTTCTCATCTTTTTTTAATCAGACTGGTAAGAAATTTTCTATAATGTTTTTTGGATTTATAGTCATGAATATAAGTTATCAAAAAAAAAAAATTTATAGTCATGAATATAGAGTGATGGGTAGATGAAGCACTTAAACTAGCACATGAATATATTGAGGTTGGAATGAGTACATGATGTGGTCATTTGTAAAATTATGTTCTTTACACAAGACTGCATGTTGTGGGGTTGGAACTGAGAAATTTGTTGTGTATTATGGCAGTTGATAGATGGAGGGTAGAAGCTTTCAAATTGGATTGTAATAGTAACCATGATCAGCCATCTTTATTTAATTATTTTACATACCACTTTGACTCCAAAAGGCCCGGTGAATAGGATATTTCAGACAATCGGTAGCAAGAATTTCTAACCTGGGTTCACTGAGTGAGAAAATCAGCGGGACCTTAGGGACAGGGGAGTTACCATATTTATTTTTGGCTAAACATGAAGAGCAGTGTCATGACAAGTCCTGCTTTTGTACTTCTCGACAAATTATCTTTTTTTTAACCATTCTTTGAGAAATTTATGTGTAACTTTGGGGTGCTGCAGGGATATCTTACTGAAGATGCTTTGGCTGCAGTGAAATTACTGCTTCCAGATGCTGGTGGTGACCTTGCTTCTGTGTGCTCCTGGGCTGATGAGGTTAAGTTCCACTTGCGCTGGAGTGGACCCTTACACTATGTTGACACACCTGATTTCAGGTGTAAGTATGATTACTGCCGTAAGTTCAGATTATTGCTTGGTTTCCTTTGTTCATTTATAATAGTCACAATAATAACATCTGTTGTTACAAATGTTCTTCTTGTGAGTTAATATTATGAGCATCATAATTTGACAAAGATATAATATACTTCGTAGCCTGCATACCATATTGCTTTATTATTTAAAATCTGAAATACACATGGCAGATGATCTTAGTAGCTGACCAGAGGTCCATCTTTAAAATCTAACATATCATTTGGAGAAGGATTCTGATATATGTGCACCCAATTCAATTTATTGACAAGCCTAATCTAGTTGTTATTTATTCTAACACTATTCTCACTCCCTTCACTTTTCTTGTAGGAGACTGTCATGACACCCATGGCCATGAAAATATGTGTGTAACAGGAGCCATTTACAACTATACAATGCAGCTTTTGTCAGCTTACAATGATTCCAATTCTCAAATGAAATGTAAGCACCATTTTAAACTGGTTTTTATGTTGGAAGGCTTAAATTATGGTTACTCATTCTCTGTCTATGACAGACAATTTGACAGAGGCACTTATGTTCCTGTCACATTTTATTGGAGATGTTCATCAGGTAAGCTCTTCCTACCGCCACTTTAGAAATTTGAAGTGCTAAGATCAACCTTAAAAGACTAATTTAAAATGTAAAGGGATCCAATTGTATAATCACTTTCTGATTTTTGTATTTTTGGTATAATAAAATTTTTGTTCAGTATGAGAGAAGTCGCTGTCTCTAGAGTACATCATGTAGGGGTGGCTACCCCATGCATTCTCACGGAACGTAAAAGTGGGTGGCAACCACTCACATGAAGTTCAAATTTCTTTATAAAAAGTGGGGATGACTTTGCACCGGAAGAATTGATAACTTGGCATTAGTTGCTTCAGTGTATTTCCTGACCTGCAATACCTGCATTTATTTTCTTTGTTATGGAAAAGATGCCTTCAGGCTCTATTTCATGTTCATGAAAAAATGGATCCTGCAAATGGCATTGACGAACATCATACTCAGATGATAGGTTGGAGCCTAAATGTATGCAGATTACTTAATAACATAGCTAACCAGTATTACGATCACAGTAAGATGCAGACAATTCTAGTAATGTGCTTACAATTTTTTTCTTCCTGATTCTGTTGCCCATCAAGACATAAGGAGGCTTGGTGGACGGGATGGATTCAGTTCATAAAGTACATTTTTTTTTTGCTTCAGAAAACTGGCCACTGATTATTTCTTTCGTACGACACAATTCTATTGCTTTTGTTGACTAGTCTTTTGTCGTGTCAGATATCTTATTCTTTTACAAATATGACTGTTCATTGTTATGAACTATTGCACTTGTATCATGTCAATATGGATGTTATAATGTGTTTTGTATGCTACATGGCTTAATTGATGTTTATGTTTGACAGGAAATACTGCATAGCAACATATTAAATTATAAATTGCTGAAAGACAATTAATGATCTTCTGTTCTTGTTTTAGTTTTTTTTCTTCCCTACTTCCTGGAAGAAATATATTTGTTGAGGAAGTAATATAGAGAAAAAATGAACAAAATGCAAATATTCATTTATTCTTAACATCTTGGTTTTTTATGACAGCCACTGCATGTTGGTTTCCTTGGAGATTTAGGTGGGAACACAATAGTAATTCGTTGGTATCGGAGGAAGACTAATCTGCATCATGTAGGTGTATATTTTGTTATTTTTCCCTTTTCCTTTTTGTTTTTGCCCTTCTTTTCCTCTCTTTCTTTTCTTCTTTATCTTTTCAATGCAAGAATTAAGATTCGATGGACCATGACAAAGTAGATTTTCCTGTCCAAATAAAATACAACGTTGGCTACTGTGGATTCTAGATGAAATTCTTAAGGCTGCGATCACTAAAGATAAATGTTTCTTGTTTTCTATTGTAACCCCTAAAAAGGCAAAACAAAAACAAAAATCATGTTTAATAATATGTTTTTTTTTTTTTTTTTTTTTTTTTTTTCTATAATAAAAATGTTTTCCATTTTTGTGAAGGAAAGAGGAAACATAAGAAAGATGTTTCTTATGTTTTTGGCACTGTAGCGCAAAAAGGTTTTCACAAGCACGGTTCATTTCAGAGAAAATGCATGTTATTCATGTTGTATACTAATGTTACCTATTAAAAATATTTTTAACCTCAAGGAATTCACTCAAGTGGGTAAGTCACTCGAATCTTCTTGATGGCAAACAATTCCTTGGAGGGGGGTGTGTGAGTACCAATTTAGGATTTTTTTAAAAATATATATAATATTATATAACAGTGTAAATTATTTTTTGAGACTAAAATATTTATGATTTATTAGATACTCCGTATATTTTATTTATTTCATATAATTTTATTAAATTATAATGCAATATATATTTTATATTGCTATATACCATATCTATACTATATTATATGTAAATATTAAATTATAATATTATAATACATTATATAATTTATTACATATAGGATATATTATTTAACATTTTTGATTTATTATAATATACTATATGTTAAATATATTACATGGAAATTAGTAAACAAAAAGCCTAATTATTATTATGATCATGATCATGAGCAAGTTCCCGCTTTGTTTTGTTGAGAGCCGACTTTTATTAAAGAACCCCTTAACTAATAGATGCGTATACATGTATTTATATGCATATTTTGTACTTATGTATTGTATATTATTAGGATTTGTGATTTGAAATTGGATATAATATTTTATTATCATGTATTGGCCATTGAGTATTGTTAATATTTGTGAAATAATTGAATTGCATACTTTCTCCATATTGTGAGGCTTTCTAGTACTAATGGTTAAATAAAAATAAAAAATCCAAAAACATATTATGTACATCTTGTAACAAGTATGTATTGCTAAACACTGTTATTGTTTTCTGCTTTCAAAATTGTGGCTACAACAAGTGTTAATAAATGTCATTTCTGCTTTCTACTTTCACTCAGAAAAGCAAAATCATGTGTCTGCTTTCTTGAGACTGCAAAAACAGAAAACAAAAACCTATAAAGAATCTATTTATTTCTTCCCTCTTTTTGTGTGGGTGGGGGGTGGGGTGGGGGGGTGGGGGTTGGGCAGTAAGCTTTGAAGGAGATATGGTAATTGATCAAATAAATCTGTAACACTAAGGACATCCTATATTGATCATCACTCGTGATGCTTATCCTATAGTTTTGAGTTAGAAATATGTTCTTGTGGGTAATTGTGTTTGTCATTTATCAAAATTTGCATCATATATTGAACTGTTTTACTTGTTCCAGGTGTGGGATAATATGATCATTGAATCTGCCCTCAAGACATTCTATGGTTCAGATCTTGCAATCATGATACAAGCTATCCAACGGAATATAACTGTATGCTTTTATTTTATCTTTCTATGTTTGTGAATATATCTAACTCGGGAGATGAACCTTAAATCAAGATAGTTTCTTATGGACTTATGTGGTTATTCTCTTTATAGATTTTTGGACTTATTCAGTGGAAAGATAGTCTAATATGAGGATAGTAATCATTATTCTGCATATGCTCCAAAAAGCAAAATCATGGTCATTGCAGTAATAAACCTTTTCTATAGTTTCTTTAAACACATTTTGATGTCAAATAGGAATAAAGAAGCAGAAGAAATTATAATTTTTTGTTGGGCAAGCACTTCTAATTTACCACAGTTTACTATGTGAGCCAAATGAAAATCTAATTCTACAGTTGGTCAGATATCTGACAAAAGTATATGGCAAATCTTCAAATGAACAAGTTATACTGAAATGATTTTTCTAGTGTAGGCCTACACATTCCTATCAAAAGCGTGAAAGAAAAAGAATTTATAGTGACTTCTGTCACTTGAGTATGAAATTCTATCAGGCCTTTTGGATTTTGAGAGTGCTGGTGGGGCTGAGTTTCTAGTTTTCTGTTGTCCCTGCTTCTCTATTATCTTTAAAGATTTGTCTCCAAGTTTGATTCAGTTGACTACAAAAACTGAATGCTTGTTTTGGGATGATCAGTTCTTCCTGTTTACCCGTAATTTTTGTTGTAAAGCGTTTGGATCCTCTTTTCATGATTGTTCTTGTAATAACTTTGAAGCTGTATATAACTCCAGGAATTCTGATACAAAATTCCACCTGGAATGATTCTGAAACCATTGGAAGGGGCCCTAGTTCCTACGCTTTCCCATAGTTTTCCTATTTTTCCGAACATTCTTTTATATGGTTGATTTAGTCAAAAAAAAAAAAAAAAGAAAAAAAAAAAGACTAATGCTTGTTAAGAAGCGGGATCAATTTTGTTACTTGGTCATTGTCATCTTGTTTATAAGTCTTTTGTATGTGTTCCTGCATGTGCCTTGATAACAGTGTGATATGTACCATCATCCAGCGCGTATCCCCTTAATGTTATTTTTCTCTTACTGTAATAGGATAGTTGGTTCAATGAAATCTCATCATGGAAAAGTTGCACATCTGATCGCACAGTTTGTCCAGACCCGTAAGCATATCTCCTCTCTTCTTCCTTTTAGGCATTGTGTGTGTGTGTGAGTGCACATGCACATGCATGTGCAGGAATGTGTCACTGATGCTTCAAGCTAATTTACAAATAGACCTGGTTCATGCCTTCGCAAAGAACTGCAAGTCTAATGGATGAATAACAATGTTGAGAATATATGAAATTTTACATTGCAGAAGTGGTTAGTTCTTTAAAAAAAAAAGTGGTTAGTTATTGATCTTCAAATGATGTATGAATTATAGATGCCAAATCACTTGTTTATTTAATTTTATTAATTTTGATTGGCTAGACCAAAGTAGAGCCTAATCACTGGCTTTGGAGGCGGGTCTTGGCGAGCCGGTTTGGGGAGTTGAGAGGTGGTTGGAGCTCTTTAGAAGTGAGGGGGTCTCGGGGGGTGGGGGTTTGGAATTTTATTCGGAAGGGGTGGGATCTCTTCTCCAAACATGTTCGTTTTCGACTCAGAAATGGGAGGAGGATTAGTTTTTGGGAGGATGTTTGGTGAGGGGATGTTTCTCTGGCTCGTGGATGTTTCTCTGGCTCGTGCTTTTCCTCAGCTTTATAGAATTGCTTCAGATAGGCAGGCCTTGGTGGTCAACTGTTATCATCTTGATAATGGAAGACTGGTTTGGGATGTTCGATTCAGGCGTTTGTTTCAGGACTGGGAGATTGAGTAGGAGGAATCAGGTGGTGGTCAATCGCTGCTATATGTGTCTTCGAGATGATGAAACAGTGGATCACCTTCTTATTCATTGCCATGGCTCGTGATTGCTGGGACTTGATGATTGGGCTGTTTGGGATGCTCTGGGTTATGCCGGGAACCGTTAAAGGGTTTATTGAGGCTTGGAGAGGTAGCCAAGTGGGGGCCCATATTCGGGATGCTTGGAGGGCTACACCTCTCTGTGTGTGGTGGTGCTTATGACTTGAGAGGAATAGGAGATTTTCTGAGGGAAAGGAGATGTCGACTTCTATGCTTAAGTTTTCTATTCTTTCTACTCTTTTTTGTTGGGTATTAGGGAGAGATCATAGATCTTTAGAGGAGATTGTTGATTTCCTGGCCTCTTTGCAGGCTCAATGGTCCTTTGTGGGTTTCTGTATTCCTTTTGGGTTCCGCTCCCCTTCTGAGTGCTTTTATTTGATTTTACTTATAAAAAAAAAAGTAGATCCATCATCATCATCCTCCTTGCCTTAATCCGGCCACATGAATTCTCTCTCGCCAAGCTTTTCTATTACATGCCAATTCACCTACTATATTTAACTTTTAAAAATCATTTTTAATGACCTCATCTCATGTTATTTTTGGCCGCCCTCTCACACTTCTCCTTGTCTTCCACTGGCCAGCACACTTTCAGAAAACCCAAGCAAAACCATCATCGTCTCATTTAAATAAAAAGATAAAGGAAAGAGCCTTCCTTCCTGTCCAGTTTTGTAATAAATATTTTGTACGTCAAGATAAGACCCTCCATTCTATCCATGCTGAGAAGATCCCCCTCCATTCTTTCCATGCTGAGAAATCCCATTCTATGAATCTACTTCCCCTCACCCTGTTGACAAGAATTCCTCTGTTTTAGTTTCTTTGACCTCTCTTGGTCCTCTTCCTTTACAATTTATGGATGCAGTTAGTCTCTTGAGTTCCTGAACTTTATGTGCTCTGAGCCCTCCACCCTTCTAACTTGGTCCACCACTTCTTAGGCTTCTTTCTGCCTATTAAAGTAGCCTAAACAAGTTGCATTGAGTTTCTTTAGATCGATCAACTGAGGCCCCTAGGAATTTACTAAATCCACTGATCACCTCCATCAATAATACCATTCTGCCCTGCTTCTTTCCCTGAAAACGTATTTTGTCTAGGCACCACATTCATGTTCTTATAACAGCCACCAAAGGCAGGCATTGCCAGGTCAAATACCTTTCCTTTCCTAAACGTAAATTGTCCAGGCACCATATTGCTCATACGCTTGCAAAAACCCACCTCTCTAACTGAATTCATCTCCATTTTAGGCACTGTAGCCCTTGATCTGATCAATTCTGCAATCATTCTCTTTTCAAGCACCCAAAAAGAGAATGAGGTAAAACCTTCTCCAGAACTCACTTTAGAAGCTCCAACCTCACCTCTTCTACAAATTTCTTAAACAGAGATTCCTTCTTGTGTCTATCTCTGATCCATCCCTTTTGGCCTCCAATCGATCCTCTTTAGCCTTCCATTGAACTATCAATTTACAATCTCAAGCAACCATCCATATTTTTCTTGCCTGATTTCTATCTCTTATCCTAAACCTCCTTTGCAATATTTTTGATGCTCTTACTGGAGGACCCTACCTCCCAAAACACGTGTTTACATGCATATCTTAGTTGTCTTTCTTGCTGCTTAAGAACTGATTTCTTTGTTGAGGTATTCCATTGCTGAAATTGCGGGACCAATACAAGTGTAGATTCTCACGGCATAAAATGCAAATGTGGTCTTGGTTGATCTTAGAAGCATTTTTTTTTCACACTGCTAGTTTTAAAAGCATTCAAGATATTAATTCTCTAGCTGTTGTTCAAAAAGGTTGTGTAGGTAGATGTGACTTAAATCGTCCTAACTTTTCAGGTATGCTTCTGAAAGCGTTCATTTGGCCTGTAAGTTTGCCTACAGAAATGCCACAACAGGAAGTACTCTTGGAGGTAATTGATTCTCTATATTATTCCTCTCTTTTTAAAAGAAAAATTGCTTTTTATGATTCATATCATTCATTCATAATCATGCAAGTGCTATTCCATTATATGTTTTTGGGTGTACTTGACATAAGATGTGCTAGAAATTAGAACTAAAACTTGTCCTCAAATTCTGTAATGTAGCCCAGTATATTTCAATGAAAAGTTTTTATAGACATATTTTTTTAAGTAAATGGTACAAGTAAATGTTATAAGCAAGAAGCGGGCAATATGTGTATTGTTATAATTATGCTCCTCCTTTGCAACTAAAATTGCCTAGAAAATCAAGAAAGAATGTTATGAAATATGGAAATATTCCGCAAATTTAAAACAGTAAGAGATGTAACATAAAATGCTTTCGACTTATGGATCAGCATCTCCTCATTTAGAAGTTATGCCTTATTTTCCCAGCCTGATGATCCACAGAGACGGGTGCTGCCTGCTATGCTTCATGAGCCCTCCATGCACAATCCCAATGCCAACAAACAAGCAACTCCTGGGTTGAGCATGTCATGACCCAACAAATCCTGAAACAAGAAAATAATGTGTTCTGAATACTTCAAGCCACCTCACCATGAAATAATCCATGTCCCAAGCTACCTCATTATATGATAGATGATGATTGTGCTCTCATCTATCCTATTGCACGTACAACAACAATTGGGAATCAACATTTCTCTTCGTCTCTCGGTCTCCTTCTTCTGCCCTCTTACACATAATTTTCTTTGTCAAAGTCGCTGGTAAAATTTCCTGAGCTCTCCTTGCATACTACTGATGGTGCTTTGAAAAGTACAATCTACTCTGGAATGAGTTTCCCATGAACTGATGGTACAAAATTTATCAGTTGGAACTGGCATATTGTTTTTAAATTTAAAATGAAGGAAACCTGAATACGTTGCTAAAATGAAAAGAATTAGCATCTTTCCTGCCTATGCTATGATAGTACAAAAGCCATTGATGCGTGTTTGTGATTTTGTTTGGATTTATTTAGCAAAGAAATGATATATGTTATAAAATCTATAATAACTAAGATGGTTTTTGGAATATCTTTCAGAAGATATCAGATAACAGTTTCCTAATATTTTTAGAATTATGTCACATGAAGCTATCATTTCTTAATGCTCTGTCCATTTTGTCAAACTGATGCAAGAGACAAGCCATTTCACTTGATTGGCCAGTTTAGTCTCTAGTGGTCCACATTGTTTCCTATGGTTTCTTGATCTGCGTTTGAGTTATTCTAGCTCCTCACATGGCCAGTTCAATCCAGCTAGTCATAATGTTGCCCAATTACTGGCAATGCCCTGCAATTGTACACAACAATGTTACCAATTCATCTTTCACACACTTGATAAATTAAAGGAACGTCGTTCTAAAGGATCACAATTCCATAAATCCATATTTGTTTTATCTTAATATTTTTCACTGTTCCGTTATGTAGATGATTATTTCCTCTCTCGGCTGCCTGTTGTGGAGAAGAGACTAGCACAAGCCGGTGTTCGTTTGGCTGCCCTACTCAACCGTATCTTTGTTTCACAGACTTTAATTGCACAAGAATGAAGGATGGATAAGCAATTGAAGTTTATCAGATAAGTGTGGGAGTATGAGACCACCCGCCACACCATCATGTCTGTACTTAAAATTCCCCACACGTCAGGATCTCTCATCTACCACATTAACTATTCATTCTCGTTCAAGTCAACTTTTGAAGAAAAAACAGAAAATGTACTTTATGGTTATCTCCAAACCCTGTTCTTTTTAATTGATGGATGGCCTACCCTTGTGGAATATGCCAATCTTGCTTGTGGCAATAGACAACTTTAGGGGCACTCAAAAATGGAAATATGTTGAACTTGCACTCAATGGCAACGTTTTAGTTGTATATATAGAATAAGCATTGTCATGGTGGCTCATTCCTCTTGTGTTTTCATTGTTGAGAAACAAAAAAGATCAAATTAACAGAGATAAGCTCATTTATAACAATGGGAGAATCAAGAGGTTTGTTGGGATTGTCTCTGTTATACCTCATTTTCTTTCTCGGTTTTGTGCTCTTTTTGGAGCCTGGGGTCCAAGCCTGGAGCAAAGAGGGTCATATAATGACATGCAGAATTGCACAGGTACAGACTATTCCTGTTTTTTTCAACCTGCAGTCTGCAGTTTGAGGAATACATATTGTTATCTGTATAAGTTATATTAATGATGAAGCAAAGGTAGATCTGCAAAATCTTACTTACACGAGTAGAAAATCACGTTCCTAGTAAAAATTTGTTAGCTCTATTTGACTCTTGGAACAATGATATATAAACCAGCTTCTTTTCCAAATAAATTTTTCTGAACTTCCATTTTCCTCTTGTTTTCCTTTTTTTTTTTTTTTTTTTTTTTCTTCCTTTGTTTTTGGTAGAGAGAGAGAGAGCTCTCTCTTCAAAATCAGATGGATTATCATTTTCGATTTGTCGAAGTTTGTTTCGTACATAATGAATTCAGTTGCAAGTTTCTTGCACGATACTTTTGTGATATTCATATGCTATCGGGCTGATCTACCTTTGTCCTGGTGACTTTGGGTCTTAATTCTGAAGCTCTAGTTCAAGATTTCAAGACTGGGAGAGAGAGAAGAAAGGGAAAAAAGAAAAAAAATTATGTCACGACTATATATATATATGCCTAGACCGGAATAAAATTATTTTCCCAATATCCGTTTCCATACAAACAAACAGCGTCTTAGGGTGCGAGTGTAATTAAATAGGGAAAATGTGATGACTTCATGGATCAACTAGTCTTTGAATTTAAGGCAACTCAAGTCCATCAATTAGTCTCACATTTTCAACCTGGTTGCTTTAGGGTAAAGCACAAGGAATCATAACACCACTCTAGTTTAATTGTCTAATTATTTGGCTATAAGTAGAAATCTTAAAAGTAAAGCTATTTTTCAGAGTATTGAATCAGCACATTAGGATCAAAAGCATGCTCAGAATTTAGAAACTCAAATGACTTTGAATCATTACCCCAGTGATGATGAAGAATGAATCCATGTCATGTGCTCAGAAAGTTTTGCATGCTTGTTTATACTTCTTACTAATGGATATTGCGAGTAACAGGATCTTTTGGAACCAGAGGCGGCACATGCTGTTCGGATGCTGTTACCAGACTATGTTGATGGCAACCTGTCAGCCCTCTGTGTATGGCCTGACCAAATCCGGCACTGGTACAAATACCGGTGGACAAGCTCTCTTCATTTCATAGACACACCTGATGAAGCTTGCACTTTTCAATACAAAAGTAATATTACAAATGCTTATGATTAATCGGATGTTATATCAATGTCTATATGATCAAATATGTCATGTACTAGCTAGTATTGATGCACTAACATGTTAAGATTGATACTAAATTGGTTTAGGGGATTGCCATGATCCACATGGAGTGAAAGATATGTGCGTTGCTGGTGCAATTCAAAATTTTACCACTCAACTTTCACATTACCGAGAGGGAACTTCTGATCGCCGTTGTAAGGGAAATTTTCATTTGTCTCCTGAAGTTTTTGATTCATTTTCACATTTCAAGTCCTGATTTGGTTGTTGTTTGGTGTAGATAATTTAACTGAGGCTTTGTTATTCCTGTCACACTTCATGGGAGATATTCATCAGGCATGTGGTTCAATTTTAACATCTTTATTCAATAATCTTTTAGTTTTTATGTTGATTTTGGAAGTATAATTATTATATATGTTTTTTCTTTTTAATTAATAATTCAGCCCATGCACGTTGGATTCACGAGCGATGAAGGAGGAAACACCATAAACTTGCGCTGGTTTAGGCACAAGTCTAATCTTCACCATGTGGGTATCAACACTGCGTTGTCTTTCTTTAATTGGTTCTCATACTCACAAACTGTTGATAGAAATTCAGAACTCATGAATATATGTTTGGGAAAAATAATCAGAACATCAAAATTAGTTGTGCTTCAGCGCGCTTTGTTAAAATTGAAAATATAATAATAATAATTTTTGTTTTTGTTTTTTGAAAGGTATAATAATTCTGAACTTCCCAAAACAAACATCAATATTAAGATTCATTTTCAACCAATTAATTAAAAAGAACAAATCAAACATTCACTTGTGTTCTTAAACTCAACCACTTAAGCAGCAAATTGTTTAGTGAAGTTCTAAACTTCATTATTTTGCATTGTTTGAGACGTATAGGTGTGGGATAGAGAAATCATTCTCACAGCTGCTGCAGACTACTATGGGAAGGACATGAACATCCTCCAGGAAGACATAGTCCACAACTTCACCGATGTAAGCGACAACTAGGCAACAGTTGGCTAGCTTTCTGAAAGTTCATTGAAACCAAAATAAGCTATTATTACACTTTAAAATGCTAATTATATAGTACCCAAATTTAATTTAGAGAAAATTATTTCGTTACTTATTATTCCATTGCTACACAGGGAATCTGGTATGATGATCTTGCATCATGGAAGGAATGCAATGATCTTTTTACCTGTGTAAATAAGTGAGTCCTCTCTCTCTCTCTTTTCACAAATATTTGTGTAAAGTTGAATTCTTTACCTTGTTTTGTTACCCGAGTTCAGACATTTCTTATTCATGCTTTGCTTCAAATACATAATACACAGGTATGCTGAAGAGAGTATAAAAATAGCATGCAAATGGGGTTACAAAGGCGTTGAATCTGGTGCAACTTTGGCTGGTAAGTAACTTTTCAATTTAATTAAGAAAAATCATTTAGAGTCGGCCAACAACACTGACTAACTTGATGTGAGTAAAGCCTGTGGGTATCACTGGTCATGGCACTAACAACTACAATGTGTGTATTGATTTACAGATGATTACTTCAATTCGGGGTTTCCTATTGTAATGAAACGGATTGGTCAGGGTGGAGTCCGATTAGCCATGATACTCAACCGGATATTTGGTGGCTCTAACGAAGATATGGTGGCAGCAACTTGATTAACCAGCCAACAAAAATACCTAACAAAAGTTTGATCACATTCATTTGTAGACCTACATTTAACTTGGGATTATTTAATAAATTATGTTGAATGATATCTCTCGTCTCTTGATTTTTTAACCATTTTTAGTTCATATATTCTTAAGTTTATGTCGAGCATATAATTCAATTAAGTGAATGATAACTAACTAATGACCCAATCTCCATACTGTTGATGTTTTGCCTGGAAATAGCTGTGTGTGTGTGTGTGTATATCCCCAGCAAAAATTGACTCGTGTCAATATTCAACCTTCAATTTATTATTATTGTTATTTTTTTTTTTTTTTGAGAGGGGCCACACCATCATTTGTCTATAAAATATTTAAATTTTCATCTTCTCTGATACATAGATAATATCTAGTTAATAAGAAACATAATAATCCGAATTGAATTGGATGCATACCTGATTCTGAGTCCAAACAACTGGAGTTCGCGCCAACCTCGCAACAAGTACAAGATGGGTTCCCAAAAAGGAGGAGACTACAAAACGACATGTGAAGAACACTCATTGGATTTGACAGCACATGATAAATGAGGACAGTTGGAAACTTGTGATGAAGAAGAAAAATTAGACTAGGAAATGACAGGAACCGATTTGGAACATGTGTTGCGTATCCTGATTCGTTATGTTGCGGGTAGACGTCTTATTACTGTACTATTGTATTGCTTCCACCGTTGATGCTGGAGCAAGTGGGCCCTCCTCCAAAACTAGAAGGCCACGTGGTCAAATTCAAAGACTGATGCTGATCTTCTCCAAATTCCCACTACAATTGAATTTTCGGGAAATCCTTCTGCTACTTTCTCACAAGTAAAATACACGAGATGGTGGTTGTGGTTAGATCAATTCAATTCAATAACAGGTTGAGTCAAGTCAAGAGCATTCCTTCATTCACTGTAACCAGGGACGAACCTACGTTGACATGAGCAGGGCATTCTTTACCTTGTGTTGAACAAAAAGAATGCTTCCAAGCTTTCCTAAAGGAACGTCTACAATTTTGAACAAAAAGAATTTTTGAAAAAGTAAAATTTTAAAGAGAGCACAAAAGAATCCGCATCCCCCCCTTTGGGGGGATCCAGTGTCATGTCCTGTAGTGCATGTAGTTTCTTTTATTTTATCCTTCCATAAGCTGCATTGTTAGTGTAATGTAAAATTGTTTTATAAATGATGTGAAATTATTGTATAAGTAGTGCAATTGACAGACTTATGACGAATACCAAAAATTTATTTAAGTGGATGAAAATTTGGCCTCAGTGCCTGAAACCATCAGACTTAAGGTTGGATTTCTTTTGGTGCAAACAGTTCATTTGAAGGGGTGTGAGTATCAATTAGGGAAAAAAATACAATAAACATATGATGAGGCCCAAAAAGTAATCCAAGTCCGGCGGAGAAGACACTTTGTTTTTTTTTTTTTTTTTTTTTTTCTTTCTGTTTATTTTTTTCCATCTTTTAAGTGAGTGTGATTATAAATTTAGAATTGTTCAAAGAAGAAAGACGCTCACCAGAACACTCTTGCGACTCAAGTTTTTTAGTGTTCCTCCTTATACCATGGGCATGTGCATCCTTGGAGCTTAGAACAAGCATATACTTTCTCACACATATGCTTCAAAAGTAGTGTACGTTCTTCATTCCATACATATATACCATATACATACATACACGCATGTATCAGCAGTTCTCTTTTCTATGTATATTGTTAGTAAGTTTGTGATCTGGATTGATGACAACTAGCTATAAAGGCTCAATTAATCAGTTACGAGTGACAATGTTGTGTAGTAGATCAAAAGTTGCTTTCAATCACATTTTGCGTTTAATTTGGCTTTGGCCTCCGTAAGTCCTTGTTCATTGTCATTTTCCACATTTATCACAAAAGTAACTTGGTCTAATTTGTGTATTCAATTTGAGAGCC